ACACGACCACAACCTAAGTGTTATCAAAAGAATAGACTGAGCTGGGCAGGGGGGCACACGCCTGTAATCCCAGCTACTTGGGAGACTGAGGCAGAAGGATGACAAGTTTGAGGCCAGCCTCAGCAACTTAGTGAGACCCTATCTCCCCACCACCACCCCTAAAAGGGCTGGGAATGTAGCTCAGTGGTACAGGGTTTGTCTACCACTTGTGAGGCCCTGGGTTCAATCCCTAGTACCCCCAAAACAAGTAAGAAATAAGTAAATAAAGATTGAAAGTCCTTGACATTTGCAGACTGAACACATACAGTCTGGGTGTTTTATTAACTACCCTCGGAGGCCCATTGTGAATGACTGAGCTGAATGATCGGCTTTGCCCAAGCCAGCCATTTACTGTGCCTGGACAGCTCACGCAACTTCATTATTCTCTACTGGTTATAGCCTGTGTGTGTTATGTATTTTATGTAACTGCAGTGATTGAAATCTTTGTTTCTTGTCTGGGGAGTAGAAAAGACTCATAAAATAAGTCACTTGATAGTGACAGTGGGAGAAATGAAGAGAAAGTGAAGAGACCTGGGAAAGTGACATCATCATCATCATCATCATCATCATCATCATCATTTTTGCCACCAATAGAAGTTTTGAGTAAAGTGGAGTGGGATATCAAGTTCAGTGATATCTAGGGTCTTGATGTCAATACAGCCACTGTGTGTGTGTGTTACAGACAGAAGTGCTTTGGGGAGTTGCTCTAGTGGGCGTCAGCCAGTGTGGAAACTGCTCTTGAAGAAAAAGCTGAAGCCTTATTACAAGATGAAGAGACACACTGACTTTCTTTTTTCTTCTTTGGGAATTTAGGTGCCAGGTATTAAATATGACTAATGCTCCTCAAACAATAAATTTTTATAAGTAATTTACTTCTATGCTTACAGAGCATTTAGAGACTAAAATAAAACCAAAATTTTTCTGACTATAATTTACAATGTAATTTTGGGAGATACTATGTAATGTATAGTGAATCAGGCCAAAGGTCTTTGAAAAAAAAAATCCCTTGCTAATGTCAAGGGTCTCCTATGGAAATCTCTTTCTACTATTTTGTTTGCTTTTTAAAGATAGACAACCATTTTGAGTAAACAAGCACAGGCCTCCCCCCCCCCCCCCCCGGTTTTGGGCCAACATCCTGGCTCGGTGATTTTTTTTTTTTAATTTTTATTTTTTATTATTTTTTTTAGTTGTTGATGGACCTTTATTTTATTTGCTTATTTATATGTGGTGCTAGGAATCAAACTCAGTGCCTCACACATATGAGGCAAGTGCTCTACTGCCGAGCTACAACTCCAGCCCTTTTTTTAAAAAAAATATTTATTTTTTAGTTTTAGGTTTAGGTTTACACAATATCTTTATTTTACATTTATGTGGTGCTGAGGATGGAACCCAGTGCCTCCTGCATGCTAGGTGAGCACTCTACCACTGAGCCCCCACCCCAGACCCCTGGCTCTGTGATTGTTGACACATTCAGTGCTTATACCAGGCAAGGTCAGGAGGCAGGGGAGTTCTTTCCACCTTGTCTCTTCTTAAGAGAACTTGTCAACCATGAAGGGAAGGGTTTTGGTGTGCAGGAGGGATATGCCCTTTTTAAAGCCAGAAGACTAGAGGCATTCTAACAATCTAGTTTTCCTATTGGCAGGGTGAGAAGATTTCACAGCAGTGCCAACTAGTTTTGATTTGCATGTGTGTGGCCCTGCAACAAAGAGCAGCAGAGCAACTTGCTCAGATAAGAGGTGGGAGGGGCCGCCTAACATCACACCCACGGTAAAGAGTCTTAGTAAGAAAGCACAGTTAGTAAATATCCATTTAATGAGTGACATCGTGACCAAGAGTCACCAAATAAATAATTGGATAGCTGTGGATGCTTTTATATCCTGGTAAGTTGATACTGTGTGTGATCATTGAGAGTCATGCTCTATTCTCTTGGGCCTCCTATAATGCTGGTATAGTGTGCTTTCAGACATTATCCCACTTTGACCTAGAGAGCTCTTGGAGTTCATATGCAGGCCACACCCAAACAAGGACAAAATTAATAACCTTAGATTAGAGTTGGCTTTGTGAGATCCTAGGGAAGGAAACTTTGGACCCAGGAACAGATATCATAGTGAGCAGGTTTCAGTGCAGGATAAGGAGGTGCTACCTAAGAATTAGAAAATGCAACATCAGAAAATGCAACAGCCTCACTGAAGTACATTTATGTCATTTACGAATTTTCATTACTATAAGTAGTTCTTCACTGAACATCCTTGGAATATAGTTTTGTGTGCTTGCTCAGACACATTGCTGGATAGTATTCTAGAAGTTGGCTGTTCAGTTGAAAGGTATATGCTTTTTATGTATTGTACAGGCTGCCTAATTGTCTTCCAAAAGGCTGTGTCAATTTGTCCCTCACACCCTGCACTCATTTCCAACAGCCTCGTAAGTATGGGATAGTATCAGTCTTTTGCACTGTTGCCAATCTGATCGGTAATATAGTTAACTATACTGGGAAATTCAGGCGTGGGACAGGAGAGAAACAGGAGTGGGAGGGATGGGGAATGTTAGGAGGAGCACCTGGCAACATCGCAGGCCCAGGTGTTAGGGAGAAGATGAATCAGGGAGAGGCCCCTGTGCCCAAGGAACAAAGGGTCAGCCAGGTAGAGAAGTTGGAGTGTGATCTTGACTGAAAAGAAGTAAAAACCAAAGCTGCAAAATCACTCCCCATGAGCTTGCCTGACACTCTAGCTCCAAGTAGCTGGAACTTTATATCAGATCTCTTTACTGCTCATACCAAGGGACAAAGCAGACACACAACAACTTCTGTCTGGTCCCAGTGGTCAGATACCTTTTCAACACAGGAAATATGTTTAGGTATTTATATGTGTAAAAAGGTAAGCTTGAAGTTGTAATATTTCTGGAAATCTTGAAATCTAAAGTAAAAGAAAAATCTAGAGGAAAATGTAATCTTTATTTTTCTAGCTCCTTTTATGAGTTTAAAGTTATATTGTTAACAATGTGGAATTTTATTTCCTCATGAAGTGATCATGTACACTATTTAAATTTATAACATGGCTTATTCACACAATGTTAATACTTCCCAATTAAGCTTATTATTTTATTTGTTTTTTTTTTTGAGGAGAGGGTAATGGTGGTGGTACTGGGACTGACTCCAGAGGCTCTCTACCACTGACCCACATCCCCAGTCATTGATTATTTATTTTTTTTTAAATTTTGATACAGGGTCTCACTAATTTGCCAAGACTGGCCTTGAACTTGCCATCCTCCTGCCTCCGCCTCTGGAGTTGCTGGGAGTACAGGTGTGTGTGCCAATGTACCCTGCTGGGTATTTTATTTTATCTTATTTTTTGCAGTACTGGGAATCAAATCCAGGGACTCACCAAATGCTAGGTAAGTACTCTATCAATAAGCCACATTCCCAGCCTGAACTTATTTTTAAATGTTTTAATATTTACAGTTAAAGGTTGCTGATCTTAAATGCATTCTCTAGTTTTCTCAACTATAAGAAAGGGGTTAAAAACTAGAAATAATTATCAATGTTCAAGAAAAATCAATGAAGTGGCTATAGGTCTACAGATTTAATGTCTGACCCCATGGGAGGGTTGAAGATGCCAGGGAGGGACAAATTCTTTATTTAGAAAAACTGCTGCAGAAAGAGAAAATTAAAAGAATTCTTTTCTCCCTAGAGTCGTTGAATATAACCTACTGTAAATTGGACACTTGCCTAATAAGATTCATTTGGAAATAAATTAAATTTGATCTGATTTCCAATAACTTGCTTTTGAAAACAGGCCCCAGGCTTAGTTCTGTCCATTCCATCCACCCACCCTTCCGTTGCCAATAACTAATAATTATGCAGTGTTTACTATATGCCAGATACTGTTCCAAGTGCTTTACAAGCATTATCTCAAATAGTCTTCCAACAGTGCTATGGGGGTGACTATTATCATCTCCACGTTAAAATGGAATCTAAGGTTTCCCAGTAAGTTAGGTAGAGAATTACCATATGTGCCAGTAATTCCACTTGTAGGTAACTGTCCCAAAGAATTGGAGCAGGTATTCAAATAAAAACGGGTACAAGGATGCTCACAGCAGTTCATTCACAATGGGCAAAAGGTGGAAACAACTCAATGTCCATCAACAGATGCATGGATATTGCGTTATATAGATTTGATACAAAATGTGGCATCAAATCTATATAATGCAATATTATCCACAAAGAGAAAGGAAATTCTGACCCACGTGACAACATAGATAAACCTTGAAAATACGCTAGGTGAAAGAAGTCAGACACAAAGGACCACATATTGTATGACTCCATTTATGTAAAATATCCAGAATAGGTGAATTCATTGAGACAGGAAGCAGATTAGTGGCTGCCAGGGGCTGGGTGAGGAGGGTATGGGGTTTTTGTGTGGGGAGATAAAAAATCTTTGGAATTAGATAGTGGTATAGTTACACAACATTGTAAATGTACCTAATGCCATTTAGTAGTATGGTTTAAACAGTTAAAATGGCATAATTTATGTGTGTGTATTGTACCATGATTAAGAAAAATTTAACTTGAGGTTAGGAAAATTTAAGTGACTTACCTAAGGGAACCTTGTAGGTGACATGGGTAGGACTGTGTTTTAAACCCAGTTGTCAGGCTCCATGGCTCATCTTTTTATTTTAAAATCTTTATTTATTTATTTACTTATTGGGAAAATAACACACAAGATTTATTACACGCCTAAGACATGGGAGATTAGATTCCATGCTTTTCAAACCAAGTACAAGAGAGTATAGTGAAAACTTAATTCGGGAGGTTTAGACCATTTTGATCATCTTTAGCTGCCTCCTATCAACACACAGGAAAGAGGAGGGACACCAATGCTTGTACCAGAGAACCAAGGAAAAGAGCCTCAGCCTGAGGACCAAAGGGTCCCTTTGGTGACCTGACTTCTTATCCCTTTCAGGTGGAGGGAGGACTCCAGACAATGGCTGCTGCTCATGATTTGGAGATGGAGAGTGTGAATTTGAATATGGAGAGAGAGAACAAAGAGCTGGAAGAAGAGAAAACTTGGGTGGATGGGGGAGGAAAAGACCCCCCCAAGGGTCGAAAGGTCCACAGGATCGTCTCAAAGTGGATGCTTCCGGAACCAGTCCGAAAAACTTACCTGGAGAGAGCTAACTGCCTCCCGCCCCCAGTGTTCATCATCTCCATCAGCCTGGCCGAGGTAAGCGCGGTGGGTGGTGGGCGCCCGCGCACTCACCAGTGGGCAGATGGGAACACAGTGGGTAAGACCTGGACCTGGAGTGGAGGCCGGGACCGACGCAGCATGCTCCCCACACCGGGCCCTTCCCTAGAGCTGCCTTTCCTGGCTTCCTGTGCTCTTCATCCCTCCAACCAAGGGGGCAGTTTAATTGGTCAGACAATTTTCTTGAGTTTCTGAGGAAAACAGCGGGATCCTCTAAAGATGTCTCCTCTGGCAGCGTGGGGTGTGTGCTCAGTTTCTGATCTGGTCGGTCCTTTTGAGTTCTATAAGAGTGCAGGGTTCAGAAGGGTGGGACAACTCACCTGAGGGCATGTCTTAGTGACTGGGCAGAACTAGGCTCTTCCTGAGAACTCCTCTCATCTTTGTGGTCTCATAAAGAAATTGGCAGAGCATAGCTACATGTGGGGTGTGACTTCAGGGACATAATCCTCTTAATTCCCATTGGTGTTAATCAGAAAAACAGACTCAATGGGGCATGAGTGAATGTACAGTACACACACACACACACACAGATTTATTTTAAGAAATCAGCTCAAATGATTATGAAGACTTGGGAAGGTTAAAATCTTGAAATCTAGCTGCTGGCAGTGGGAGACCAGGGAATAGCTGCAGTTTGAGTCCAGTGCTGTCTACTGAGTGAATTCCTTTTTTTTTTTTTTTTTTTGGTGCTTGGGATTGAACCCAGGGCCTCGTGCGTGTGAGGCAAGCACTCTACCCACTGACCTATATCACCAGCCCATGGATTCTCTTTTCCTAATGGAGGGCAGTCTTTTCTATTTAGGCCTTCAAATAACTGATTGGGTGAGGCTCACCCACATTATGGAGGAAAATCTGCTTTACTCTACTGATTTAAATGTTGATCTCAGCTTTAGAAAAACTAGCTGGGTACTGTATTCACCTTGGAAGGTGACACATAAATCTAGCTATCATGGGAGCCAAGTTTCTTATGGCTTATAATGATAAAAATGAATGTGTAAGAATTCCCAGGAGACCCTTTGTCAAGGTTTTGGTTGAAGGCAGGTAGCTCTCTGTTTTCTCATGGGGTTTTATTGTGAGACTTAACCTGTGACTGGGAAGTTATTAGGCTGTGTATGTGGATTCTATCTGCTTCTCCCTTCATGTTATCCTTTCATCTTACAGGTTTTCTGGTGTGATCATGTTCCCATCAGCTGTGTGTGTGGGTGGGAGGAGGGTTGGAGAAGAATGGGGTAAGGATGCATGGTACAAATACGACTGCTGGACTGTGAGTGCTACCTAGAGTGTGCAGCTTCCTGCAATAAGTCAGGGGGCAGGTGCTAGGATTTCTAACACTTACAGAAAGATCTGCTTTTAAAATTACTTTAAGTGAATTTTTTGTTGTTGTTTGGTGGTGCTGGTGATGGAACCCACAGCCTTGTACATGCTAGGCAAGTGTTCTACCTCTGAGCTATACGCCCAGGCCTTAGTAAACTTTTTTGTTTTGGAATAATTTTAGCTTTATAGAAAAGGTGCAAAGGTAGAACAGTGAGTTCCCCTATACTCATGGAATTTCTCCCATTTGTTAAATGTACTAACATTCCATAGAATATTACATAGTACATTTATGGAAACTAAGAAGCTGATGTTTGGTGTAGTACAGGTTGAGTATCCCCTTTCTAAAATGCTGGGAATCAGAAATATTCTAGATTTTAGTTTTTCTGATTTTGGAATATCTGCATAGACTTTCCAGGTTGAGTAGATCTAATCTGAAAATCTAAAATACAAAATGCTAAGGTCCTATTTTATTTTATTTTTTGGTACTGGGGACTGAACCCTGAACCCAGCAATGCTTAACTATGAGCCACATCCCCATCTTTTTTTATTTTGAGACAGGTCCTGCTAAATTGCTTAGGACCCTCTAATTTGCTGAGGTTGGCTTTGAATTTGCAATCCTCCTGCCTCAGTCTCCTGAGTTGCTGGGATCATAGGCGTGTACTACCACGCCTGGCTGATCCAAAACTTTACAAGTGTCATGTTGGTGCTCAAAAAGTTTCAGATTCTGGAACAATCAGATTCTCAGATCAGAGATGCTTAACCTAGGCTGGGGATGCAGCTCAGTGATAGAGCAGTTTCTTAGCATGCACAGGACCCTGGGTTCCATCTCTAGTAACGCAAAGAAAAAAGGTGTAGAGATGTCTAACCCATACTATTAATAAAACTCCCGACTTTATTTGGATTTTACCACTTCTCCCATTAATGTCTTCTTTTTGTGTTCCTAGTACTCTCCAAACCAGGGAATCAAATTGCATTTAGTAGTCACATCTCCCCAGCCTCCTTTGATCCCTGACGGTTTCTATTATTTTTCCATGAGCTTGGCAGTCTTGGGGTGTACTGGGGTACAATGTCCCCCACCCTGGGTTTGTTTGATGTTTTTCTCATAATTAGACTAGAGTTATGGGTTTGCGGGGAGAATACCACAAAGGTGAAGTGCCCTTCTCTTCCCATCACATCAGGGAGTAGGGGATATCACATAATGTTACAGGGACATTACTTTTCACCATTTGGTGGAGGCAGTGTTTTCCAGATTTTGCCACTGTGGAGTTAACTACTTTTCCCTTTCCTTACTGGATTCCTGGAAGCCAGCACTGACTTACTTTTATATTAATTGTAAATGAAGGGTCAAATAGTGGGGGCGGGAATGTGAGGGCAGTGGGTATTTAAGGGGATGGAAGAGAACCTAGTACTAGATAGCAGGGGTCAAAGGCAGGGGAAAGGGGATTCTTGATAACAGCTGGTCTAGTGCAGCCCTTGACCATGGGAGGAAGGAGTTGACCACAGTGGGGGATGGTTGGGAAACGTAATTGCTGTCATCTTCTGAGCCCACTCAGAGCTGATGATTTAAACATAGTTACTGCCTGTGGGCTTAATGGGGCACTCTCTGGCAACTGGTGTGGTTAACATTCATGTCCGTCCCTCCCTATCAGCTGGCAGTGTTTATTTACTATGCTGTGTGGAAGCCTCAAAAACAGTGGATCACCTTGGACACAGGCATCCTGGAGAGTCCCTTAATCTACAGTCCTGAGAAGAGAGAGGAAGCCTGGAGGTTTATCTCCTACATGCTGGTCCATGCGGGGTAAGGAGTGACAGTTAAGTCATTGGTGTCAGAGGTGATTATAAGTAATGTAAGAAATTGTCACTTCTCACTGTGTGTGTGTGTGTGTGTTACTGGGAATTGAGCCCAGGGCCCCACACCTGCTAGGCTAGCACTTTAGCCCTGAGCTATACCCCCAGCCCTTTTTAGATTTTGGGACAGGGACTCGTTAAATTGCTCAGCTTGGCCTCCTGCTTTAGCCTTCTGTGTAGCTGGAATTAAAGATGTGTGTCACCCTGCTTGCTGTCACCCCTAACTTGTGTTTAGAGCTTTATTATCATAAATAAGGTACTTTCATGTCCATTTTCTTGTTTGAGCCTCACAGCAGCCTAGGAGGTGAGTATTTCTCCCATTCTTATGTCTGAGGATGTAATCACTTGCTGCACATCCCACAGCTGATTCAGAAAGAGACCTTACCCCACAAATGCTGACAATATAAACTACTTTACATTGCATTATAACTATCTAATGTTTGTTTTGATATAGGAATTTTAATGAACAGATGCCAAATAATTAGCAAGTCAGCCGTAGGTCTTCCTAGTTGATGGATGTTGTTAAATGTTTTCTAATTTAGGTTATGAAATGGTAGAACCAAAGGACCATCAGCACCCCCCACCCAATAATCCTACACCACACTCTTTAAAAAAATTAATTCATTTTCATCAGTGTGAAATACTGTTTTGCATCTGATATGTTACAGGCAATAGGAGGTGTGGTGCTGCATTTTAGTTGTATCATTTCCTAAAAGCAGATAGTCTTTCATGTCCCTCAACATCCACCATCTCCCATACATGCTGCAGTCCGTCAGCAGCTTGATGCCAGATCCACCTCTTTGGTGGACTCCTATGGTGTCCAGTAAGGCCAATTCTGTCTATGTGGCCTACCCAGTTCTGGTGTAAAAGATGACTCTTTTGGTCAGTGGCTAAAAAAACAACTATTACAGGACGCAGAGGTTTGACAATCCCCAATTACTGAGTTTCTGTCCATACTTCCATTTTCCATTTTACAAATCTTTTCTAAGCAAATGTGGCTTCTGCTCTCAAGGACATTAAAATTATAAGAAGAATAAACCAATAGTAATGTTGGCAATATAGTATTAGAGTATACAGTAGCTACTTCTTTAAAATGGGGTTTTAGTACCACCTCTTAAGGTGGTTGTGATTAAATGAGACACTGCTACAATTTTCACAGTATCTGATATATATAGTTAGACACTCAGAAAGAATTTCCATGTCTGTGTAGGACATGTCACATATGGGGTTGTATTAGAGATGCTTTGGGATGTGAATTAACAAATAGAGACCTTTTTTGGGGTTGTGTGTGGGGGGGTATATGGTGCTGGGGATTAAACCCAGGGCCTTAAGCATGCTAAGAAAGTGCTCTACCACTGACCTACAGCTCAGGTCAAGAGGCTAATTTTTTTCTAATATGAAAAGTACAAGGTAGGTGATCGGTTCATCAGCTTATTGAAACCAAGGCTCTAGGTTCTGTGCTGGTGTCTCTGCTATTCTTTTGGGCTTTTTTGCTTTCAGGTTGGCTGCTACAACTCTGCATTCAAAGCCAAAAGAAGGGGAAGGGGGCACCAGGTACGGGTGCATCCAGCCCTTTAGTCAAGACGGAGCTCTCTTAACAGTGCTCTTACTTGCTCACTGGTCAGAACTATGTGACTGGACCTGGCTTTACTCCTAGCTAAGAGAGGTTGGGAAAGTCAGCATTAGATCTTCTAGCCTGACTGGAGGAAGCTGGGTAGGGAGAAGAGAAATGGATGTTGGAATTGTTATAGTGTAAGATAAACAGAGAGAGGGAAAGACCAGGGTGGGGATGGCTTCTCGGATGACAGATTGAAGTTGGATCTTGAAAGTAGGGAAAATTTGGGTGAAAAAAATTAGTAATTCCATTTAAGGTAGATGACACATTGTAATTTTAATGCCACTTTAGTCTTACTGTTGAGCAGCAGAAAGTTTGTATGGGGTTTGGAGTTTTTATGATATTGGTCACCTTGTCCTCAAAGGGTTCTCAGAGGACAGGATGGCTTTCTTTGAACTTCTCATTTAAATTCAGGAGCAGATATTTCTAATCTCCTTTATGCTTGAGATATCCAGAACAATAGTATAACTGTCCTTGCTAGACTATTCTGTGCTGAATGACACATACCTCTTGTATGTCTTGTGTGTGTGTGTGTGTGTGTACACTGCAATTTAACTCAGGGGCACTCAACCACTGAGCCACATCCCCAGCCCTATTTTGCATTTTATTTAGAGACAGGGTGTCACTGAGTTGCTTAGCACCTTGCCGTTGTTGAGGCTGGCTTTGAACTTGTGACCCTCCTGTCTCAGCCTCCTGAGCTTCTGGGATTACAGGTGTGAGCCACTGTGCCTGGCTCTCATATGTCTTTGAAGATGTCTTGGGCACTCATAGTTATAGCTGGGAGCACAGGCACCATAAAAGTAAGTAATCCATTCTGCAGGATGTATCTAGAGAACCTCTTCAGTGACCTGTTGGATATCTGTAAAGTACATGATGATGCAAAAACGTAGTCTCTAAAACTAACATGAGAACTGCTGCACTGTGGAATATTGATATATCTATTTTGTTTTGGAACTTTTGGTACAATCTGAAATCTCCTTAAAAAACAAACAAACAAACAAAAACACTGTACTGCATAGCAACTAAATTAAGAGTTACTTTAATGTGGGAATTTTTCAAATTATGTTCAGATTCTCCAGAGATGCTTTGTGGGTTCAATAAGCAAGATAATAAAAACTTTGTTTAACAATATTTTTACTGAGCTGAGGACGTAGCTATTGGTACACTTGCCTACCATGTGTAAGGCCCTATGTTCAATTCCCAGCATTGAAAAAAACCTGTATGTGTGTGTGTGTGTGTGTGTGTGTGTATAAATATATTCCCATATGTTTACACACACACACACACACACATATAGATAGATAGATAGATAGATTTTAACATATTTAAAGACTATAATAAAAAACACCCACATTCATTGTGTTATATGCCAAGTTGTAGTATGTGGGAATTACTTTAGCAAGTCTTAAAGGTACTTTTTAAATGTAGAAACAGCAGTGAAATTTCTCTTGCCTTCTCTGTTTTATTAAATATCCAGAGGTTGCAAGATAGACTGTTTAAAAATCTGTCGAAATTTAAACTCATTGTGAGTGAGTCAGGATTTTTTTAAAAACTACAATGGAAACAAAATCAGATGCAGAGACTGCCATGATTGTAGTTGTCATCCAAACCCCTAATTTCAAGTTTATGTTCCTTAAGCCTGCCCCTCTGGTGTTTCCTGTTATAATTGTTATAAAATGGACTTATAGAATATATTTATACTTTTAAAATGTTGTTGTATCTGTTTTACATATTGAAGTGCCTTGCAAGATTTTATTAAAAAAAAAAAAAAAGAAAGACTTGCCTGCTAAAAAAATTAGAAAATGGAATTCTAGCAAGTCCAAGTCCTTAACTAGAAACAACATCTCAGAGCCTACTAAAGAAATAACTGCTTTAATATTTGACAACTGTGTTTGTCTTTGCAGAGTTCAGCACATTGTGGGGAATCTTCTTATGCAGCTGGTTTTGGGAATTCCCTTGGAAATGGTCCACAAAGGCCTCCGAGTGGGGCTGGTATACCTGGCAGGAGTGATTGCAGGTCAGTGTTCTGAAAGTAGCAGTATCAACAATTCTGGGCTCTTAGGATTAAAAGCGAAAATAATAGATATTTATAGTGGATTTCCTTTTTCTTTTATGCCTTACTTTTCTTGTTTTGTAGTACTAGGGATTGAACTCAGGGCCTTGCTCATGTAGTTTTACCACTGAGCTACATTCCCAGCCTTTTTATAAATTTCATTTTGAGAAAGGGTCTGGAAGTTGCCCGGCTAGACTTAAACTTGTGATCCTCCTGCCTTAACCTCCTGAGAGGCTGGGAGCATAGATGTGTATCACCATGCATGGCTATAGTTTCTTATTTAAGTCAAAGTTTATTGTGCTCCTAATATATGTTAGGGACACACTAAGCATTAGAGATAATTTAATTGGAGATGAGATATTAGAGATAATATGAGCACATGAAAAAGAAGTCCTGGTGCCTTTATTCAGGAATCTCACATAATTGGAAACTGCAAGCATTTTGGTGTATAGGATGCTTATATTGGGTAAAGGCCTAAAGCCAGGTCATAAAGACTCTTAAGTGTCAGGCTAATGATTTTTAGAAGTAATATGATTAGGTTTGCATTTTAGAAAGACAAATTTGGGCTAGGGATGTAGCTCAGTGGTACAGTGTGTGCCTAGCATGTGCAAGATCATAGGTTTGATCCCCACACATCATCACACACACAAAGGGACACAAAGACACAAACTAGTAGAATGTGGCAGTAATTTCTAAAATTGTGCCTAAGTTGATTAATTATGGTGTGAGAAGAATATATTAGAACTCCTGTCAGTTCATTTATATAAACATTTTAAAATATTAAAAATTTAATTTTAGATAATTGTAGACATATCAGCAGAGGTTAAGAAATATTGCCTAATGATCCCATGTACCCTTTGACCAAAGTTGCAAGATAGACTGTTTAAAAATCTGTCGAAATTTAATGGTAACATCTTGCAAAACCTTAGCACAGTATCATGACCAGGACACTCACATGGGTTTAGTCAAGTTCCAAAACATTCCCAGCACCCCAGTGATTCATCATCATGCCTTTTATAGCTCTGGGTTCATCCCTGTCAGCCTACCACACTCCTATATCATGGGCAGTCACTAATCTGTTCTCCATTTCCATAATTTTGTCATTATTAAATGAAATCATCTAGTTTATCGTGTTTGGGATGGCTTTCCTCTAGGATTGTATTCCTCTAGGTTGTTTCATGTATCAATAATTAATTCCTTTATATTGCTGAATAGGACTCCATAGTATGGATGTACAACTACTTGTTGAATGATTTGCTCACTGAAGGGCATCTGGGTTGTTTAGAGTTTTGGGCTATTTGTAAATAATGCTGCTACAAACATTTATGTACATATTCTTATGAATCTTAAATTCAGGGTTTTGTGAATCTAAGATTTCATTAGACTACAATAAATGTCAAAGAGCACACCTGCTGGATCATACATATGATGGTAGCATGTTTTATTTTTTAAACAAAAATTCCAGAAGGTTTTCCAGAATATCTATCCTTTTATATTCCTCCTAGTAAAGGACAAGTGATTCCATTTCTCCATATTCTCAATAGCATTAAGATTTGTTGTTGTTGTTATTATTATTTTTTTTTTTTTACTTTTTCTGAGAAGAGGGCAGTGATATCTTATCATGGTCCTAATTTACTTAATGGCTAATGATGCTGAAATCTTCTTATGTGTTTATTTGCCATCTGTCTATCACCTTCAGTGACATGTCTGTTAATGTTTTTTGCCCATTTTCTAATTGAAATTTTTTAATTATTGAATTTATAAATTCTGGATACTAGTTTTTCTTTAAAAATATAGTTTATAAGTATTTTCTCCCAATCTATAGCTTGTCCTTCCATTATCTTAACATGGTCTCTCACACAGCATGAATTTTAAAATTTTTGATGAAGTCAATCAAGGTTGTCCTCCCTCCCTCTGCCAGTACTAGGGATTGAATCAGCAGGGCCTCACACTTGCCGGGTAAGCACTCTACCACTGAGCTACATCCCTGGCCCAATCAAGTTTTTTCCAGTTTTCTTTTTATGAATTAAGTTCTTGGGGTTCGCCTTAAACACTCTTTACTGAGTCCTAGTTCTGAAGATTTTTCCCCTACATTATCTTCTTAAAAGTTATAGTTTTTTGCCTTACATTTAAATATGTGATCAGTTTTGATTTGGTTAATTTTTCTATGATGTATAAGGTTCAGATTGAGGTTGTGTTTGTTTCTTTGACCTATGAATATCCAACTATGCCAGAACAATTTGTTAAAAGAACTGTTCTTCCTTTACTGAACTGCTTCTGCACTTTTGTCAAAAATCATTTGCCTATAGTTGTATAGGGGCTACTCTGGCTTCTTTTTATTCCATTGATCTGTGTGTCTCTCAACTGATACTATATAGCATTGGTTACTGTAGCTATATAATAACTCTTGAATTCAATAAGAATGATTCCTATTTTAGTTTTCATTTAAAAAATATTTTTGCTGTTGTAGTTCCTTTATCTTTCCATATACATTTTTACAACAATCCTATGTATAACTTTGAAAATTCTTTCTGGGATTTTGATAGGAGCTCATTAAACCTGTACATTAATTTGGGGGAGAACCAAAATCTTTACTGTGTTGTCTTTCAATCCAAGAGCACAGCATGTCTCTTATTTAGATCTCCTGGTTGCTACTATATTTTTAATCAGTGTCTGTGTGTTCATTGCTGGCATAGAGCAATACAACTATTTTTTATATGCTTATCTTATATCTGTGACTTTCTTATTAGTTCTAGAGTTTAGTTTTGTTTTTTTTTTTAGATTCCTTGGGATTTTCCATGTCGTCTGTGACTCATCATGATTAGTGACAGTTTTATTCTTTGCTTTTCAATCTGCATGGCTTTTTTTTTTAATATTTATTTTTTAGATGTAGATAGACACAACACAATGCCTTTATTTTTATGTGGTGCTGAGGATCGAACCCAGGGCCTCACATGTGGTAGACAAGTGCTCTATCACTGGGCTCCAGCCCCAGCCCGAGCATGGCTTGTCTTTTTATGCCTTGTCATGGTGGCCAGCACCTCCACCACTATGTTCAGTAAGAGTGGGGAGAACAGATATCCTTGCCTTGTTCTTGCTCATCTATAGAAAGCAATGAGTCTTTTACTACTAAGTAGAATGTTAGCTATTAGCTGTAGGCTTCCTGTAGATGCTTTACCAATGCATTTCTTTCTTTGTTTTTCTTACAAGTGTCTCCTTTGGTTGCCCAGGTGGCCTCAAACTCCTGGACTCCATCCCAGCCTCTTGAGTACTGGGATTACAGGCATGTGCAAGCATCTGGGTTACCAATACATTTATTTCTAAAAAATGAGCAAGAAATCGAGTATAGCAAGTATGTACTGCACAGGTTGAGATGGGCCCCACTGTCTTTATGTGTTGTAAGAGGACATGCAGTTTCTTGGGCGTAGGGTGGGAGTTCCACAGCACACAGGGACAGAAAGCTGTACCTGACTTGCTGTCCTTCATGTTGCAGGATTTATCGAAGTCTGTGTGGGCCTGGTTAAATAAGTAGGGTAATCTTCCTAAGGAATAAAGGACATCCTGTGTAAGGAGTTGTCGAAAGGATCTTTTATTATTTCCCAGAGATTCATTGATTATTTAATGGTAAATTACTTAGATTAGTTTATATGTTTTTCTTTTACAAAAAAGATGGATGTCCAATTTGCTGACTTTTTCTGTGATAATAAAAGGATTTTTTTTATTTTTATTTTTTAGCAGCATGCTACTTAACAGATGTTAGGAAAACAAATATGCAATATGTCCCTTTGAGGACATGATTACATTTTTCCCTCAAAGGAGTGAGAAAATAACTACTTTTCTAAAAATACTCATGCTATGCAAAAGGCATTTTGAAAATTGGAAATTGTTTCGTTATTATGTGATTTTGCTGCTGAAAATGATGCAACATCTCATAAATTCACATTTAGAAGGCAGGGAAACAATTCTTTAATTGGTTTTAAAATTTCTCAGTGAAGAGTTTTGGTGAGCTTTAAATTTTAATATAGCATTTTGATTATTTTGCAATAACAAATTACTGACATTGGGGAAAGTGGGAATTAGCCAAATTGCAACAAAATTTTTGCATAATTGGAGTTAAGCACAGTCAGTGATACAATTCTATTTGAAACTACATATCATTTTTTAATTTTAAATTTGGCCATGATAGTCATTTCTATAGAAAATAATTGAATTTAGAATTACATCTTTGTATTTCTGTGTCATGATATTTAACCAAGAATTTCAAACTATAATATGAAGCCTACTTAAGAAACACTACTCATTGAAAGATTTTTTTATACCATTAATGAAGTAAAAATAATTTTAAAATACTGTTTTTAAATTCTATTTTTATTTTAAAAACATATTAGTATAGTAGTACATATATATGTAACTTATAAATATGTAAATACACCTATATTTCAAAAGGTAGTTGTGTTAGTTTCCTAGCTGCTATAACAAAGTGCCATAAATTGGATGGCTAAAAACAACAGGATTGAGCCAGGCACAGTGGCACACCCCTGTAATTCCATTGACTTGGGAGGCTGAGAAAGGAGGATCACAAGTTCAAGGCTGGCCTCAGCAACTTAACAAGACCTTGTCTCAAAACAAAAAAAATGAAAAGGGGATGTAGTGGTAGAATGCCCCTGAGTTCAATCCCCAGTACCACAAAATAAGTGAATAAATAAGGCAATAAATAAATAAATGAAAACAAATAGATTAAAGAGAAAAAAAACCAACCAGGAATGTGTTGTTTCACAGCTCTGGAGGCTAGAAGTCTGAAATTAAGCCATCAGTAGTACTCTGCTCCCTCTGAAACCTGTAGGTGAATCCATCCTTGCCTTCTCCTAGTTTCTGGTGGTAGCTATGAGTCTTGGTGTCCTTTTCTTTTAAGGTACTGGGGATTGAATCTGGGGTCTTGCACATGCTAGGCAAGTGCTATACCC